CGTCACCAGCGGAGGGGTGGGTCTTGCTTGCACTCCTGCTCCTGACGATGATCTCATGTTGTTTTTGCAGGTGTTTTACTCTTCGCTGGTTTTCAGGTTCGTTTCGGAGTCTTTGCTTGATAAGGCTCGTCAGGTTGCTGTAACATCTCGCGAGTTAACAATCTACCTGCTACTGTCTTAATTTTCTTCAAATTTTCCTGCTTGCGTTGACGAGCAGGTAGAAGTAGGATATCGTACTGCACTGTCCCCTTATAGTGCAACCACGCGACCTTCTTTACGGACGAATGACAGCGTCGATGAGATCGTGAAGTGTTTTTATTTATTTTTTTTTGCGAAGAGAGCACCGCAACGTTCAATGGTTGTAGTAAGTGAGAGTCGTTTACGGGGAGGCAAACCAGTTTGACGAGCATCTGGTCGGCGGTGTCGACGATTCCTTCGGCAATGTCAGATGCGCACCCATCCATGACGAGAAAGTGGTCGTTTGACTGGTGTAGGAACCGCAAAAACGAAGAAAAATATCCATTTAGCAAATAGATTCGATGTCATAAGCGCCTTTGTTGTAGTTGTAACTGCAGCTCCAGGTATACTGCATTACTCACGAACTTCATTCTCCACTCGCTCACCAGGTAGAATGAAAATAAAGGAGGCACGGCAAAACCTCCTGCGCTACCACACGCTACAACAGAGAGATGAATGTTTGTAGTAGGGTCAATGTGCCAAACGTTTTTTACCCTTTATACGTTTTTTTACCCTTTATATGCGCTACCACGCGTGTTGTTTGGCGGGAACTCTTGACTGCGGTTTCATCAACGTTGAACGCCGTCAGGAACACCGTTCTTCTCGCTGATATCGTTGATATCGCCCCCTTCTTGGATTGATTTCACGAAGGCCATCTTCTCTTTGCTGCTGAACGTGCGACGCTTCATATTTGGCAGCTTAGATAAAAACTGAGAGGTATAAGTGGAACGGCGCACGTGTCTAAATATAGCCAATCTACTGCATATTCAACTGCTATTGGTGCGCCTTAATCTGGTCCATTGACTTAAACTGGCCAATTACCTTGTGATATCAAGGAATTTCCCTCAGCGAGGGTTCCACTTATTGTCTGTGTAGCATTGTATATTGTTGTAGATGCCAAATCGTGTACAGCCAGAGTAGATATGAGAGCAGTGTGTGTTCACACCCCGCCTTCATCGATACTAACGTGACGACGAGAAACTACATATGTTAAGCTCACCGAGCTCTCTTACTCCGCATAATGAATTGAAGAAGGTTGGGAGATGCTTGCGACGTTTGAGCGGAGCGCCGAAGCTGCATCTACGTGATCCGCAGATGAACCCACTAGAATTTGAGCCCTCCCAAACCAAAGCTCCGTTATCTAGTAATTTTCATTTCTCAAAAAATGCAAGAAAAAAGGCATATTATTCAGAAAATCGAAAAGTTTACACTTGCAATCATACTTGTCCTGCTTGGGGTGACGCATTACAGCTTGTACCATCCACACATGTACTCACTCGGGGAGGGCCTGGCTGGAAATAACCAGGATGTCCACAAAAACTCATCGATGTAGTCATCCAGGTTCTTCTTGTTCATATAATGAATCATCTTCACGAAGATGCTATGCTGCTCTTGCTTCCCGTTGACAAGGCGATTCTTCATACAACGCCAGTAGCGCTATTTTACTTTGAGGCGCATGGGCTGGGCGCACCGATGCCATAATATTGCCCTCTCTAGCTGCTCCACCTCCATGGCCCTGGCAACCACCTTGTTCTCGTCGACAAAAATCAAAAATAAGAATGTTATTTTTTACCTCATTTACGGAATCAGAATCAACCAGAATCTGAATTGAAGCGACCATTATAGCGCGCAGAGAACGTGGTAGATATGGTGTTGCGTGCAGTTCGTGCGCGCAACTTTATCCTTCCATACAAACCCGTACAGATAACTGATATCTACTTCGTCTCGAAAAGCGCCAGCAAAGATGCACAACTATAACCTACCGCGACATTACCTCTTCTATTAAGTAGCGGCGACCGCCGACGAGAACAAGGTGGTTGCCAGGGCCATGGAGGTGGAGCAGCTAGAGAGGGCAATATTATGGCATCGGTGCGCCCAGCCCAT